GAGCTCTACCTTGAGAATGTACTTAGAATCTGACCACTTCACACCATTTTCACCCTGGTCCAAGCTATCATGTGTCACTGGGATTGTAAGAGCTGGTCTCCAGCTGGGGTGTTCTCCTATCCCATGCACACACCACATATACGTTATGTCCTATCTTTCCTGAGCACAGTAAGTGTTTTATAGCTTATGTCTGAATGTGTTACTCCTCAGTTCAGTCGTCTTCCTATTTCACTGAGACCAAACTTCATGATCTGACCCCTCTGACCTCATTTCCTCCAACTCTTTCACTTGCTCATTCTATTCCAGTAACACTAGTCTCCAGGCTTTTCCTGAAACATGCAAGCATATTTATACTTTGCACTTATTGACTCTGCCTGAAATGCTCTTCTCCCAGATATTCATATGGTTCAACATCTCACCTCTTTCAGGTTTTACTTAATCAACTTCTTGGTAGTAACTTTCCTGACCCCCAATATTAAATTGCACTATTCCCAAACACTCCCTCTTCTCCACACTTATCACTACAAGACAGTCAACTTAAATTTTAATTAATTAGTTATTTACAATTGTCTCCATCCACTAGAATGCGGGCCTGTTTTCTTGACTGCTATATCCCCAATGCTTGCAATGGTGTCTCTCTTACAGTAGATACTCAACCACATTTGTGGGTAGCTTTCATTGAGTATCTCTATCTTAAAGTTCATCTTATCATGACATAAAGTTGTAGATCTCTAATTTTTTTCTCCCTTTTATATGCTATAATTTAGTCTATAGAGCCATTATTTGCCCTAATTTTTTTTTTTCATTTTTTAAGTAATCTCTCTATCCAATGTGGGGGTTCAAACTCACGACCCTGAGATCAAGGGTTTCGTACTCTACCTACTGAGCCAGCCAGGCATCCTTGCCCTCCCTGCAAGCTAGCAATGTGAAGAGTCACTAACAACTTGAAACACTGGCTTCCCTTCCTTCTTAAGTGCGACAGATTCGATCTTTCACCTATATTTCTCTCAAATTTATTCTCACTGCAACTCCACTACTACCTCGTCAGTCCAGGCTCTCACTGGATCCACACTGCCCAAAGGATAAAGTCCATATTCCTCCTGCTGACAAATAGCAAGTCTCTCTTCCTATCTGACTATGCCCTTCTTTTACAGCCACATCTCATCTCCCCTGTATCTGTTCTCTATATATCAGCCTAGTTTTCTCATTTTGGCATGCTTTTTGAGCTTTTACTACTTTTCATAATACCAAGTCTGCATGAAATATGTTCCTTGCTCTCCAAGGAACAATGCTGAAGTCATTTTACAGGAGCCATCTCAAATATAACTTCTATAAAGTCATCAAAATAACAACAGCTAACAACCACTGAGTGCTTACTATGATTTAAATGATTTACTTCCATTGTATCATTTAATCCTTAAACAAAATCTAATTAGAAAGGTACTACTAATTTCCCCAAATTATACATGATAAAATAAGGCTACAAGAAGGTAGGAAACATGTTGTAGGTCACAGACTTAATAATCAGATGAGCTAGGATTGGATCCTAGGTCTAATTCCAAAGCCTAAATGTCAAAAATCTAAATGAACAGCTGAATCGACCTTCGAATAGGTATTCTGAAAGTCTTTACTGAGTTTAGGTCATTTTGCAACCATTAATTTTATTTGTGCGAGATAAGAACTACAAACCACAAACTCTGGGGTGCCTGGGTGGATCAGTCGGTTAAGCGTCCAACTTTAGATTTCGGTTCAGGTCATGATCTCATGGTTTGTGAGTTCAAGCCCTACATCAGGCTCCACGGTGGCAATGTGGAGGCTGCTTGGGATTCTCTCTCTCTCTCTGCCCCTCTGCAGCTAACTCTCTCTCTCTCTCTCAACGTAAATAAATAAACTTAAAAAAAACAAAAACTCATAAACTGTAAGCTGTCACTTTACAACTACCCAGAAAATGAATAAAATAATTCACTCTAAAACACTGTTTCGGTTTGCAAGAAAACACATCATTTTTGTGGGTATGTTTTTGTGATAAGAAAGAGTAACAGTAATACCATTATCGTCAATTTACAGCATTTACAAAATTACAGGCAGGGTAAAAGACCAGAACCCTATTTTTGTATGCCACAAAGCCCACATAGAAGTCACCTGGTATGTCCAAAAGGACCTCTGGAATGTTACATCACTACTAATTTACTCTCCTAGTTTTTGCCCTCCTTGGTAAAACTTCATTTCACTGACCTTTTCATTGTGAGTTGCTTTGCTGGGTATGCATATAGCATCCCACCCAAAGGTGACTTTGAGGGAGCCTCTAAAGGCAACCCTGGCAGGTCTCCATAGAAATGGCCCCAGGGTTGTCTCCAAAGTGGCCCTGCTTGAGTTGCCATGGTAAACAACCAGGCTAGATTGCTATATTCAGTTCTTTGCCAGGGTCGCCATGGTGACTGCAAAGGATGGCTCCTTGGAAGGACCTCACAAGGGCGCGTTTCCATGGTGACCCTATCCTGCATATTTCTAAGCAACTTCCCTTTGGTTGTTCTGTGACCAATCATGGCAGGTTCATTTTGAGAGTAACCCTGGAAGGTTTCTCCCAAAGATACCATCATAACACACAGGGATTTGGAAGTGAGGCCTGTAAACAAACTGCTTGAAAATGTAAATGGTACCATTCATAAATCATTAAATTAGTCCTTATATGTTTTAGGAAGGATCTGTTTTGATGGCTAACAACAACAACAAAAAAAACATTTGTAACGTCTGTTAAATGTGCCTGTTTCAAATCTTCATTTAAAATATCTTACAGAATATAATGCAGATAATTAAAGTTTCAAAGTTCCCCAATCTTACAACATAGTGGATAACTAGGTAAAAAATACTTTATAGTGGATATGACACATACACATAAAATGAAATCATAAATACAGATGGATCATTAGGTTATAATGAGATATCAAGGAAATTTTTATAGAGCAAAAGACAAAATATTTGCAAGTCAAATGAAAAAAAAATGTGTTTTTTTAGTTGAGTTGGGAAAGCCTAGCCATATTTGGGCCCAAGCTATTTTTTCCTGTATTTTTGTGGTTGGAACCATCTCAACTACTCTTCCTTTCAATTTAAAATATGAATATAAACCATTCTGAACAGATGCTTGATTTTTAAGCCATTTAACTATTCTCCTGAAACTTTAAAATACTGTACTTTTTCTAGTATTTAGTCAAGGGCAAATTTTATCTAATTGCTAATTTCAGTATCTTTAAAAATTACTTAACAAATAAAAAGAATCCACAGTTCAAAAGATACAATTATAATTTCTGCACATGTGCCCACTTTTTGTTCTTGCCAAGTGACTCTTTAAATTTACACACACACACACACACACCTTATTGTGAAGAAAAGGTTAACCTTGGTTTTCCTCTTTTTTCTCCTAATCTTGAGTACTAGCTCCATTGGCTCTACATTTTCCATTATTTATTTTCTCTCTCAGATGCCATTCTCCTACTCTGTCCACTACAGCCCACCACTGCCCATTCACATTCCACTCAGGACAATGAACTTGAGTTTGAAAAACAAAAATAGTCTAGAAAAACAAGGATATTCATAGTCCCTTCTTAGTGAAGTCTCAGTGTTCTACACAAAGTCTGAATTTGTAGAGACTTCTTGCTTTAAGCCTTCAGTGTATTTTTGTGAATCAGAGTAGTCACTGCCATTTTCATTCATTCATTTATTCACTAAATATTGATTGATTGATTGATTGATTGATTACCAAGTATAAGGCACTGTTTTAGGGGCTGAGAGCACTTCAGGGAACAAATAAAAAAATTCCTGGCTTTAAGCTGCATACATAATGGACTGGGGGAAAGAGAAAGAAAGACAATACAAAGAAAACCAGTAAGTATGAAATCTTATCTTCTGTTAGAAAATGATTAAAGTAAGGGAGAAAATTAAAACAGAGAAGAGGGAGGCTGAGTCCCAAGCCAGGCTGGGATGGGGGCTAGGATACTACAGACAAATGGGTGGTTTCAAGAACTCCCCACTCACCTGCCATACGCACACTCAATATCATACTCATTACTGACAAAATCCTTAAATTAAAGATAAAAAGAGTAAGAAGGTCTGCTTCATACAGAACTCAGGAGAAGTTAATCAAAGTAATACTCAATTTTCCCCACATGTATACTTGCTCTCTGGGAGGCAGCAGGCTCTGAGGATGGCAAGTGATACCACCACCTCCAATCCAACTTCTGCTTCAAGAACTATACGAACTTGGGCAAGTTACTCTACCTTGAAAGCCTCTTTCTCAATTTTAAAGTGAGAAAAATAATTCCAAGCTGAAAGTAGTACCCTGAAGAGACGCAAAGACCATAAAATATAAACACTAAAATACTGTGGGTGATAATATAATGTCTGGAATTTACATGGGAACATTTCAGAAAAAAAAAGGTGAGGAAAGAGAAAGATGAAGAAAGTTGGACAACATTTTGGACATTAATGATGCCCAGTGATGGGTACACAAGTTCATCATATCACTTTTTATGTTTGAAATTTTCCATTAAAATGTATTGCAAGGAAAGGATAAAACTTGAAATCAAAGACACTTCCTCCATAAAGGTTTTTAAAATAACTAGAAAAAAGTGTATAGGAACACCGACCTACTTTATATAACCGTTTGCTTATAAAATGAGCAAAAAGCGGATTTATTTCCTGAGTGCTCACTAACCTTCTGGAAAACTACTAGGCGCTTTCCATACCTTCTTATAATATTCTAATTTAAAAAAATTAACTTCATACTTTACTTATCATAAGAGACAATGTAAGACAGGCAGAAAAGCATCATTGTTAAACTTGTAGATTCACTGGGTATTCAATGTAGAATTTGTTTTCTAGAAGAAAGTTTAGTATCATCTACTGAATCCTTAAAAGCAAGCACACAATGGACCTTTACACAGCTAATAAACATTTTAGAAAATGAATTCTATATGAGTGTATCAAGACACTTAAAAACTTACCAGATCAGTATCTGCCTTTTTATAGGTCAAAGCTTCCACTTTGGAATCCAGTTCTGCTTGTATTTGGTCTCTCCTTTTCATAACACCCTTCATATCAAAACACAGGGATGGAATAAGTTGTACTTTGGTTTATAATATTTTTATGAAGAAATATACATTTTAGAATATAAGTGGCATCGCTCCCCAACTCATCAGTCATTTGGGGATATAATGACAAACAAATTTGTTTAATCTCTAAAAGTTAAACTGAAAGCAAGTGTGTAAGAGAATTTTCTTCATAAACTTTTTATGAGTTTTCCCAATGCACATTTTACTGGAGCACTCTAGACATATACAGTTCTTCAAAAAGAGAAAAAAAGAAAACAAATAATCAATCAAAAAATCAGTGGGAACACTGAAAATATATACTATGGTGTAATCTGGTGGCAGTTGAGAGGTCACACGGGCCTCTCACCTAAAGTGTCTATAATAATTTGCAGCACACTTATTCGATTCCAAAGACATGGTTAATTAAAGAGTTTTTAATTACAGTGGGGAATCAGAAAACTGACGTGTGAACTCACATTTTGCGATTTTATTTTAGCTTAAAATATATAAATATTAGTCAATTAGTCAAGCTTTTGATGAGAAATTATAGCCTCTTCTCTGAGAAGAGTTCCATCCTGTTTTCTCAAATAACCATGAATTCACGTTTCGGTATCCTTAAACTTTAAAACACCCTTGTGAAGGAATTTGAGTGCAGATTTCACCTTCATCTTTTATAATGTTTGCCAGCATTTTACAATGTGTTTCCCCTGGTGACTCATTTTTCTCCCAAGACCTGCTACTTAGGCTTTATAGACACAATGACTCTTTTTATTTGTACTCATCTTTCACAGGTTTTCAAAATATTAGTTGAAATCATAAAATTGTGATAATGAACACAAGAGGCCTAAAGAGCTTAAGGAAAAAGTTAAGCTAACTCCAGGTAAGTAACAAATTCAAACAGAAAGGGTGAAAGTACAGCATATATGAGAAAAGCCTTTATGAGGCATAGGTCTTTCAGGTGTTTTCAGGGGAAGGGGAGAACCTACCAACAAATCAGTTAAATGGAGGCAAGATAATCTGACAGAGTATGTGGGAACTGAGAGGCAAAGGATAAAAAGCATCCTCAAAATTACTCAGTCTAGTTTTGTGCCTGGCGGAATTACTCCTAAAACACTCAAAAGAGATAAGCTTTTCTCCTGTGTTCAAAGAAATCAATAGAAAATTCAGGTAATTACTACATATCTTTTATATTTATTTCAGTGTTTCATTACCATTAATATCAGGAACCCCTTCCTATCTCTAACCCAAATGACACATACTACAATTTAGTCTCATTTATTTAAGGTCTGTTTTCATAAATACGAAGTACTGTGATTCACATAGGTAGAAATATTTTAAGTAAGAGTTTGCTTCAGAAGACAACTAGTAAGATTACACAAGTTTAATCATTTTGTCAAGGTCTATACTTCATCATTTTAGCTCACATTGAAGAAAACATTCCAATATAAAACACAGCCAGAACTGCAATATAAATTGCTACTGATTATGCTTTAGGAGTCTACAAAGTAATATAATCAAATGAGAACCTATAAAATAATTCTTCTGGTTGCTATTATAATTTTTCCACACCTTTAATGATATATGACTTAAATTACATAATTTTCATCTTGACATAATAAAGAGAAAAACACATCTAATTAAGGGAGAAGAATATACTATTTTTAATTATACAAATCAGATCTCTTTCAACAACCACACAAGGGGGCTATCAATAATGAAGTAAAACAATGAAATGTAGCCAAGGAAATTGATGGAGACAAGGAGGAGACTCCTCAGCAGTGAAATGTTAGAGGCCTTTGGGAAGCAAGAAGTGTTTGTTTATAGAAGACCCTAATAAAGTCAAGTAACAGCAGCAACATGAAATATCTACAAAATATTTAATGACTGTGAAAGAAAAACCTAACCGTGAGAAAGAGGCAGATCTCATGCTGAAAGGCTAAGAGAGCTTTTCTTACCAAGACAGAAGCAAAATTAAAAAAAAAAAAAAAAATCCCCAAACCAAGAGTACATGAAAACAGACACGGCTCCAAATATAAATAGCAGAAGAAATGGACTATATCTGAATGCAAGTGGGCTCCTTCTCCCATTGCCACACTAAAACACAACAACCCTGAGGGTATCAGTTTGTGCAAGGTGCTGTGAGCAGAACATAATACAGGATGAAAAACATTAACTTTGCAGATAGCATTGCTAAATCCCAAATATCTGGAAACCTTAACTTGAACTGAGGAGGTTAAATATAAAACTTTGATATAAGAGGAATAAAAGCCTTTGCAAATAGTGAAATAAAACATTTTAACTTGAAGGATTTCTTTTTAGAAGCATCCAGAAGACAGAACAAACATCAAAATCCTACTCAAGTACTTTGTACATAATGATAGTAAATACATTGCTAAATCAAATGTACCTAGAAGGGGTAAAAGAACTCTTTCATGAAAAGAAATCTCTAAAGCACTAAAAATTTTTTAAGTAAAATTTTAAAGGCTTGGAAAAATGAATCATATTCTCTATATAAATCTTGACTGAAGATGTTTCAAATCTATGTGTAATGTACATTATTGTGGCTATTGAGTATTCCTGTCTTTTATTAACATATACTTCTACTTGTCATATCATTCACATAGTGAACTAGTATTTATTGAGCATCTATATGCAAAGCATTCTGCAGGATGGGAAAATAGTGGTGAAAAAAACTGAAATAGAAACTACCTTTATAAAGCTTATAATCAGGTCAGGGACTAAGGTAAAAGTATAAGGTGTTCTTACCATTAACATTTCACTATAAAGCACATACTCATGTACTACAGGAAGCAGGGCCTCTGAGAGTCCAGACATCCGTTTTTCAGTGGCCTTAGAGCATTTGTCAATGCAGCTGGCAATCCCTTTCAGAGTATCAACCAGATCTTCTTCTGACGCTGACCACAGAATATGAATTGGGCCATATTCTTTCATTTCATCAGAATATTCTAAAAACAAAAATTAAGCTCCTCAATTTACAGAAGTTTTAAAAATCTGTGAATTATAGACAGTAAGAAAAGACCTTATTTTTCTTATCGTGCATATGTTCTTCTAAATGAACATAAGAAGATGGCTATCAACTTTCATTAAATTGGCAGCAATTCCAATCCACTCAGGTCAGTCCTTGAATGACTACTGTCTATGTGTAACCAGCAATAGCATCCTTTTTCATTCTCTAAAGTATCCTGGCTTGGAAGACAGATTATACGATCACCATATCTATCATGGAACTCTGCCTACCAAATAAACTACACCTGAGTGTCTCATAGGCAACATTACCTAAACAAGCTTGTCTTCTTTCTCCCCTTCTCCTGATTACATATCCTACCTAAGAGTAATTGTTTCCAGTGATCTCAAAGCAAAAATGGGTATCATCCTATACTCATGCCTGCACAGAGCCAATCACCAGTTTCAATATTTCTTTTTTTTTTTTTCAACGTTTATTTATTTTTGGGACAGAGAGAGACAGAGCATGAACGGGGGAGGGGCGGAGAGAGAGGGAGACACAGAATCGGAAACAGGCTCCAGGCTCTGAGCCATCAGCCCAGAGCCTGACGCGGGGCTCGAACCCACAGACCGCGAGATCGTGACCTGGCTGAAGTCGGACGCTTAACCGACTGCGCCACCCGGGCGCCCCAACCAGTTTCAATATTTCTTAATACTTATCTATCTATCCATCTGTCTATCCATCCATTCATCCCTCTGTTTTTCTACCTATCTACCTATCTATCCTTATTTCCACTGTCATCAGCTCATCAGCGTCTGTAATGTACACTTCTGTAAGGGACTTATAACTATTCTTCCTCTTTCAATTTTTGTCACAGTATATAACACTGAAGCTTCTTAGCTAAATTAGAAAGTCCGTACATTGTCTCTCTGGGTCCAACTCTTGAGATTCTTCCCCCAAAATAGTTCAATTCAGGCCATGATAATTACTCATTCATAACTATCTCATGATTTCTCCTCATTTAAACATTACACATACCCCTTTGCCTTGCCCTTTACCATTTCTACCATTTGACAAACTACTTCTAATCCTTTAAATAGTAGCACAAATACTAGTAAATACTACTACAAATAAATTCCTTCGGATTCTGTTCCAAAACATTGTATATGCTTTGTCCCCAATGAACCGATCATAATTTTACACTTCTATTAAAGCCTATCATAATTTTATACTTGTATTATCCCATTCTATTATAATTGCTTGCATAAATCATATGCTCCTAGGCCATATGCTCCTTAAAACAGGGGCTGGGTCTCATTTTCTTTTATCTCAAAGCCTGATACAGAATGTGTTCAATAAATATTTTTGTATTAGTGAATGAACAACAAAAGACTATTCAATGCTTGATAAGCCATTAATTCAAAAATTTGTATTTCATTTCAAAATCTGAATATTTTTACACTTTTGCGTTTATAATATCATCCTTCTTTTTTTTTAAGTTTATTTATTTTGAGAGAGAGAGAGAGAAGGAGAGAGAACACATGCATGTGCAGGGGGAAGAACAGAGAGAGAGGGCAAGAATCCCAAGCAGGTTCTGTGCTGTCAATGCAGAGTCCAACACAGGACTTGATCCCAAAAACCATGAGATCATTACCTAAGCTGAAGTAAAGAGTCAGACACTTAACCAACTGAGCCACCCAGGCACCCTGATATGCTATCATCTTTCAAAGATGGCTTTTTATGGTAGAGAATGTAGAAGTAGTGAATATTTTTTCTCTAACATCCATCAAATACGATGAAATTCTCTCTGTATTTAATCATCTTACTACTCATTAGAGTTAGTTGATATCTGGCATATTCCTCTAAATTAAACTATTAAAATGTCAAAAGTTTGTATGATCAAATAAACTGAAATAGATTAAAAAAATTTAAGACACTGGAAATATCAGTTGTTACCAAATAAAGGTATCAGATTTAATAATCACTAGAGCCTTTCCAACTACACCCACCTAATCTAGGCCTATCCTTTGTTTTAAATAATGGCCACACTACACTAGCATTTCTAGAAAAGAAAAATGTTCTCCCTTATCTCATTTTCTCAATTTGTGTATACATAAGTGTGTACCATTGAACCTTTGTAACATACATTCATTCATTTGTTTGTTTATTTAAAGTTTATTTATTTTGAGAGGCAGAGTACGAGCAGGGAAGGGGCACAGAGAGAGGGAGAGACAGAACGCCAAGCAGGCTCTGTGCTGTCAGCACAGAGCCCGATGTGGAGCTCAATCCCATGAAACGATGAGATCATGACCTGAGCTGAGATCAAGAGTTGGATGCTTAATCAGTTGAACCACCCAGGTGCCCCTGCAATATTTATTTTTCCATAGAGAGCTTTTATAAAATTCTAAACTGTGCTTACACAGCTCTCTGATTACATTTGTATGCAAACACTTACTGAGTTGCACTGTAATTTGTCTATTAATATATGTCTCCCCAACTAGACTCTGAGCTCAAGGACAGGTACCAACTTACTCCTCCTTTAATCTCCAGCACAGAGAAGCAGTACAGCATGTGGTCAGTACAAATGTGACAAATAAACTGGGGAGCACAAGATATAACAAGATCAAAGAAAAACCTTGAAAAAAATTTTTAAATAGAAACCACTAGTTATGATCACCATACTTTCATGATTTGAATATGAATGAAATATCCTATATAGCTTAGGCTCCCAAGCTACAAAATAAAACATTCCATCATCTTCAAAGGAATCTCACAAGTGGGCTTCACACTCAAAAAACAGAAATCCCTCCAGTTTGGGTCAGTGGCAATCATGCCCTGAAAATCAGAACTCAAATTTACAAAGTCTATCATCAAATCCACTTTTCCTTCTGAGCATTTCACAAACATTAGAGTATACCGAAGATTTTAAAACTATTTCTTTGCACCAGCAAATGTAAAGCAGCATACTGATGTTCTACAAAACTTGTAGGTCTCAAGAGTTTCCAGGAGCTTCTCTGAATTGCTATTCCACTTAACTATGCATCAAGAATATTCTTAACAGAATTGGAATTGTGGAATACAGTTAAAACAATTAGCCTCTTGAGATTAAAAAAAAAAAAAGACAAATGATAAATAACTAGGGTGGACCAGTAAGTCCTAAAAGAAATTATTAAACTATATTCAGTCACCACAATGACATCACCAAGTGTCAATGGATGGAAAAAAAAAAAAAAAAACATAGAGGGAAATGCACATTCAGCTATGACAACTTTTTCTATATTTCTTTTAACAACCAATCACTAATGATAAAGCAAATTTTCCTACCACCAAATCATACGTTCATTCCTTTTTTTCAATCATTGAACAGCTTTTGTTGAGCACCTACTATGTGCTAAGCACTATCTAGATACTAAAAATAAAACAAATCTTTTCCCTTCTTTTCCTCATAGAATTTACTATTTAATAGGGGACATAGAAAATTAAAAAAAATAGAATATCGAAGCCTGGTGGCTTGCGGTCTTCCGGTTAAGCGTCCGACTTCAGCCCGGTCACTATCTATAGTCCGGTGAGTTCGAGCCTCACAAGCCAGCCTCAGGCTCTGTTGATGGCTCAGGAGCCTGAGCCTGCTTCGATTCTGTCTCCTCTCTCTGCCCCTCCCCGGTTCATGCTCTGTCTCTCTCTGTCCCAAAAATAAATAAACGTTAAAAAAAAAAATAGTCATCAATATAGAGACTTAAAGTAGTTCATCTCTAAAACCAATTTATATTAGGAAGTATATTCTTTGACTTGGCCACCTAGTTCTAATGTAGTTAAATGCAATTAGAAAATTAGCAGAAAGTCATCATGGAATTGGAAAAAAAATCATCATGGAATAAAGTCTAACTTCCTTTTTTTTAAGGTTATTATCATGTTGCTATTATATTTTTAAATGTTTATTTAATTTTGAGAGAGAAAGAGCACAAGTGGGGGAAGAGCAGAGAGAGAGAGAGGAAGACATAGAACCTGAAGCAGGCTCCAGGCTCTGAGTTATCAGCGCAGAGCCTGAAGGGGGCTTGAACTCACAAACTGTGATCATGACCTGAACAGAAGTCGGATGCTTAACTGACTGAGCCACGCAGGCGCCCCTGAAGTCTAACTTCTAAAGTAAAATAAAAATAAGAAAATTGAAAAAAGGAAATGGTGACATAAAATAGGAAGAAGGACCTAATTTCCAATATATAAATTTCTCTGCCACGCTTGGACAGGTGTAATATAGAGTACTTTTTCCAAAAAAATCACGGAAAATGTGGAAACCCTAGTTTCTGATATATCACTTCTTTGATTTTAAGCTATGATCCACATTGTACATTTAAGACCAACTTCATACAACTACAAAATCTTAAGCTCAGGGCTTACTTTGCCATTATTACTTATAAATGGGAACAAGAACAGCTAATAATTGATTAAAACAAATGGGGACTGGCCATGACTACCTTCAAAATCATATAGAAATAAAAAATTTTCTCAATATATCTGGGTATAAGCCACACATGAAGGTGAAATTCTATCTTAATGTTATGTGATACCTCATGTAAGGAGCTTGGAAACCACTACTCAGTCTGAACAAGTAAAATGCTGAATAGACTGAAAAATGAACAACTTTTCTTGGATCTGCAAAACAGGGGAGGACACAGGAAAAACCACTGCCCTCACGACTGGGAAGACAGATGAATACAAGGAATTGTGGGTTACTGGGCACACACTAAAGAGCAGAAACCACCTCTCACCACCCACTGCTGGGGTAGGGAGACTGGAACTGTGATTGATGAACTGCTGGAGGCTCAGTGTAGACAACTTTAAGAGTTAAAAGCCCCAGGGGGAACCCAGTCATGGGGTCAATATTGTGAGATTTACCCCCAGAAGCTCAACTAGGTTCACTGTAAATATTGAATAAAAACTACTCCTGCTTCTTGCAGAGGAGAATTTTGAAATAGCCAGAGCACTCTGCTCTTCTTAACAAAGGCCTGCCCTCAGAGGAAAATAGTTAACCAGAGCCTAACCTGCTCAGGTATCGTCAGAGACTAACTTAGAGAAAGGGAAATACTCAAGTCCAGCCGACTCTGGCCACTCTGGCCCAAGTAAGCAAGGAGAGAAAACTGAGAAACTCTTGTGAAGTTCACAGTCCAGAGGCACAGGCTCACTAAAAGACTGAGACCTGATCACAAAACTGTACAACGCTTCAGGAATAAAAGTTTTTTCTATATTTAGATCGACATAAGTTTTCTATATTTAAAACTATAGAACGCTTCTCCTCCCCCACACCTTACCACATTACTAAAGTCCTGTTTACAGCAGTTCCTTTTACCCAGTATCACGTCTGGTTATTAAGAAAAAATTCCTAATAAAAGGCAAAAGAGACAATTTAAAGAGACAGAGCAAACATCAGAATCAGACATGGCAGGGGTGTTGAAATGGTGAGACAAGGACTTAAAAGCAATGATGATTAATGTGCTGAGGGCTCTAATGGACAAAGTAAACATCACACAAAAACAGATGGGGACTGTAAGCAGAGAGATGGAAACTTCAAGAAAGAACCAAAAAGAAATGCTAACTTAACATTGCTTTACTACACCAGCAAATGTGAAGATCGGTCAGAAATTGAACAACTTGGTAATCACATTCTAGTTATTCTACATACCCCTTTCTTCCTTGTAAATTCTCTGAGATATTTTGTCTATCAAATTTATTTTCTGGCTAAAAACTTCAATAAAGTTATTCATTTCCATGAACTCTTCTGGGCGGCTTTTTACTCCTCTCATTGACAGTGCAACAGCTCTGACTGTCTGCCCCATCCTGCTGAGTAATCCAGGCCCTTGTTTCTTGTGAGAAGAGAGCTCCTAGAAACAAACAAACAAACAAACAATTAAATATTTGTGGTGAAGCAATATTCCCAACAAAAGGAAATGTAATTGGAAGGATAAAGATGATAAAAATGTTTCATAGACTTTTTTTCATGTAGTTTGAAGCAGGTGAATTTTATTGGGGTACAGTTCTTCCTCTATCTCCTTGATACTATTCCTTTTCAAAGTAGTCGTGTAAAACATGTGCGCAGCTTTCCTCTCAGCATGGATCTTTAAAAGAATAAGGTTTAACAGCAGGAATTGTGCTTAAGGAGATATTGGGGAAGATGAGAGGACAATATGAGATGCAATCTATATTTTATAGCAGGGATTTAATAGAAAATGGTTGAGAGAAGATCTCTTAGGGTCTAAACTGCTCCCTGAAAAAAAAAGGAAAATTTTATTAATTCTTTAGTTATAATAATAGCTAGCATATATTGAGAGCTTCTAGGCACTACACACACACACACACACACACACACACACACACACACACACGTAAACTCACCATAACACTTTGAGGTAGGTTCTACTATGATCCTCATTTTACAGAAGAAAATACAAGCACAGCAAGGTTAAGGAGATTGCTCAAAGTCCAGGCGAAATTAAGTTATGGACAAGGATTGATCTGATTCCAGAGGCTTCACTGCTAAGCACTAGCCAGCTCTGTCTTCTTAATGTCACTATAAAAGTTTGTAAATAGATACTCCCTGACCATAACTCTCCAACCGAGTGAAGTAGGTAAACTGTGACACTACCTCCACTGGCTGGCTGGCTGTAGAGAAAGATTTTTAATAATATATGTAACTAGCTCTTTCATAGTTAATCTGGGAGGGAGGAGTATAGATGAGCAAAATAGAAGAACCACTATAAAAGGATACACCACACAAAAGTAACCCTTTAGAAGTACAGCGTATTAAAAAAGAACACCAAGAAGAAGACCACATGACTCTGGTGATGGTTATAGCACTCGCTGAAATATAGGTTTGGGATCAAATGAAAGGTTACTCACAAGAAACAAAAAAAAAAGAATCTATAAATAATAATGCCGACTACCAAATCCACAGATAAAAATATTATATATTATTTATCCAAATATTAAATAATATATTATCTTTCTCCAGATTTACTTTCCTACAGGTCTTACACAAAATAATACATATAAAGTAAACTTGTTTATTTCCTAGGCAGCATGATTTTATGTGTATATAATAACAGATGTCACCCTTGACCAGGTAACACATCTATCCAGGAGTGCTACAGCATCACTTGATAGAGTAAACATTATCAGAGAGAGCATAAGTCACAACTGGCAAGCTATTACTGAGAACTGACTATAGAGAATGCTTCCAGCAGCTTCTAAGGTTCTGGAGTCAGGCCACAAATTCATTTCACATAAGTCTCAAAGGACTTCCAAATAGCAGTACTATTTGTCAAGATTGAGATGAACCACTTTCTAGCTTCTATCACTTTGGCAACAACTGAGAGATACAAAACTCAACATGAGTCAGTAATCATTTAATACTGACCATGTTTCCTATCCATTTTCTTTCTTGGTGAGTTATATTTTCATAGGTGAAAAGAAAAAAGAAGAGCATATAAATTTTCTGCATTAGAAATAGATTCACTCTTCCCATTAGGTAATTGAAAGAAAAAATAAGAAAATTGTATTATCTATTTGGCTATCCATCCAACCATCTATCCATTTAATAAAGACTTTTATCCTAACTTGAATAGTCCTAACCCATTTTAAAAGTATATTGTATATGTTCAGTGCTGGCTAAGTATGCAAGGAGTACCCTGACATTTAAAAAAAATTCAAATACCAAAAGAAATATGAATACGTGTATGTGAGGAAGATAGAAGATGTCTGTAACGTTTATATGTAGATTTGACAGAGTTGAATCTTAAATCTGAAGAATACCTCTCCAGTGTTCGATAATCCATCTTAATTCAAGGACAGTGCTGACGGATTCATAAACGAAAACCAGAGGAAGCATACAACCAATATACATAAAGACACTAAAGGATTATATGAGTATAAATCAAATTTCTTTACCCAAGCTTGTGCAGTAAGAAATACTTTGAAGTCTTCATTAAATGTTAGAGTCGGGTGATCAGCAATTCGGTTCAGGAACTTATGTAGCGCCTTCCTCCGTGTTTCAATGAAGTCATCATTAAAGCGTTCCACCATACCTTTCACGATAAACTTCTCAGGCAATGGCTGAGGCAAAAAAGTTTTAAAAGGATCTGAGCATTATGTGGCATGGGATTATAAGGAATTCTACACTCTTCCTTTTTGGAAGACTATTTGAGCTTACATTCATTTCTTTCTTATAAAAATAATTTTTCAAAATTCACACTAGAACCAAAACCTGCAAAACCTTAACATATTAGAATAGTTTAGAACAACAAATCTGGGGGCGCCTGGGTGGCTCAGTTGGTTAAGCATCCCACACTTGATTTCGGCTCAGGTCATAAACCCATGGTTCGTGAGCTGGAGCCCTGTGTCCGGCGTGGAATGTGGGCCTCTCTCTCCCTCTGCCCCTCCCCTGCTCACTCACTCTCTCTCTCTCTAAATAAATAAACATTAAAAAAAGAAAAAAGAAAGAAAAAGAAATCTGTTACATAGATGGAAAGTTTAAAAGCAAAGGTTTCTGGATAAATGAATTACACTGATTTAAAAGTCTGACATTAGTTATAAGCATTCTAATGATTCACAAAACAAAATGGTAGCTACTCTATGGGAAAAATATGTAGACTTACTGGAATAATCAGAGTGGGGTGTGCTTCTTCAAGTTTTCCTTTCAACCAAAGGAAATCTTGATAACGTCTCCTAACTTCAAATTCACTGGAGTCAAATTCCCCACGAGATGTCTGAAGAAAGTAGGAAAAAATAACGACACATGCAATATAAGACAGAAGACATTTGCCTAATGTTATTTTAGATATGCTGAAATAAATGGGTCTCTAAGAAAAATTAACAAATTCTAATTATTCAGTGTTTGTCAGCCTGTACTTTTTTTGCAGTCATCAATTCATATAGCCGATGAAACAAAGCAAACTTTCCAGTATTTCCAGAAAGAAAGCAAACATCATGCTCAAATTTAAAATCCAAACTGAAAAATCTGTCTTAGAGCAGCCATCTGCCTTCCACAAGATTTTAACTACTATTATATTTGGCATGACTTTCTTGCTAACAAGAAAGTGTGTTCTGAATTTAGGTTTCAAATATATTTTTTCTCAAGATGATTAGAATTCAGAATTTGAGGAAAGTCCTATTTTTGTAATTTGGAAAATAACCTGAACATAACTGAGAAAAAATGTTTTCCTGGAATTTGCTCAAATGAATTGCTTTGGTAAAATTTGCTTTTAGTATATGAAAATTCTAACATTTTACAGAGTGATTTTACCACTGTTTAAAAAATGTTATTAATGAAGATTTGATGTGAAAAGAAAATCTTCCTGTCATTTCTCAAGGGATTTTGAGTTATATGCCTAAACTCCTAAAAATTAAGCAAATAAATTAAAATATCTGTTCTCAACAAACCAAAAATCTATGCCAACACATATGAGAAAAATAACACGGATACAATATCAACCTCATTTCCACTGCCTGAATCCCAAGCCAAAAAAAAAACCAAACAAAACAAAAAACATTATCTGATGCACACTCACTCCCACCAATATCTTATTAACTAAATTTCTGCATATTAAAAATTATAGAGTGATATGAGGGTGAAATTTTCCTGGAGGAATAATGATGGAATAACACATTGCATACATATTTTTCACTCACCCAAAATATCAATCATCCACACAGATGAATGCAATTATAAAATTAAGTAGTTCAAGTCATAGATGCAATCTTAATTGTCTTGAAATAAGTTCATAAAAGTTATTCTTTCCAAGGTTTATTCTTTTACAATGAATGTTTATAATATCATACAATATATTTTATCAAAACATTTCCTTTTTAGTGGGAAAAAGTGGAGGTAAATGATATGCAGAAGTCTAAGGAACTAAATGTTCACAAAACACTCTGAAATCTTAACTATGGGTACAAGTTATGGAAATGGTAAAAATAGGAAAACTAAATCTAGTAGAAACACAGTTTAACAACATATATGAGTTGGTATGTGTACATATACATGCAAATACACACACACATGCATACATATATACGCACAGAAAACATGGTTTATAATCACTCATTAAACTTTACTTACTGAACACCTTCTTGTACCAGCCACATATGTATAGGTTTACCACCAATTTCCAAATGTATAAATTGGCATAACCAATACTAAAATACTCAAAAATTGGGCAGTTCAGAGCTTTAAATGTCCTGGAGAATTTTCAACACTTTAAATAGAATAATCTGATAAAAACTCCAGCAAGAGGAAGATGTAAAATCAAGTCAAAGAATTGGTTGATTCTGTCCCCATCACTCTGTCTTTGACTTAAAAGAGTTTTCTAACATACTGCAGTAACACAGGAAGAAAACAGAAGATGTACAAATAATGCCTCTAATACAGAATCATTTTCCATGGAAGCTATATCATAAATGGTCTTTAATTTTTCATGTCTGACCATAAAAGCTTGGGTAGTTGAAGTTTAGGACTAATGGACTCATGTGATCTACACCCCAAAATGCACTCATTCAACAAACACTGACTTTTGGTCAAGGGCAGTTACTCTAGGCTCTGAGGACTTAGAAAGCTGTTTTTGACGGAAAATGAATTTTACAATCAGGAATACACTTTAATCCCTACTCCACGCTGGCAGGCATTTATGGGTTTGTCTTCATGATGTGGATGTGAGAGAGAAGACACTCGTTAAATCTCGAAGCTCTTGTTTCTATATGTAGCAAAGGAAAGCACATCTCTTGATCTCCAAAAGAAAAAATACTTCTTTAGAATAGTCACTTCAGATATTTTAACCTGGAGAATAAAGGGCAATTTCTCATAAGGAGAACAGATGCTAGGAACATGGGCTTCCGCATACAATCATTTACAGCCAGGCCATTCTTAAGTATTCTTAAGTAGGAGATTGTCAGTGCACATATGTGCACATGTATATGTGCATTCATCCATATAATCTTAATGTCTATAAATGTAAATTTTAATAAAACTAAAACTTTCTCAGGGAAGCCACCTCTTAACCTCCTCATTAGATGGGGTGCTCATGCTCATAAAATCCTATATTTTTCTCTCATAGCATTTATAACTATAATTAAATAATTAAGCATGTAATTGTTACATCCATCACCCCCCTAGATTGAGAGCTCCATGAAGGCAGAGGGTATGTCTGTCTTGTTTGCTGGTGTAATCTCAATATACACACACAGTACCTGGCACATAATTGGCACTCAGCAAAACTTCACTGAATATATGAGAGAGTGAATAAATGATAAAAAGTGATTAACAAATCAGGACACTTGGGTGGCTCAGTCAGTTAAGCAGCCGACTTTGGCTCAGGTCATGATCCTCATGACCTCAGTGATGAGTTCGAGCCCCATTTCAGGCTCTGTGCTGACAGCTTAGAGTCTAGAGCCTGTTTTGGTTTTTGTGTCTCCCTATCTCTCTGCCCCTCCCCTCCTTGCACTCTGTCTCTCTCTCTCTCTCTCTCTCAAAAATGAACAAATATTTTAAAAAATTTAAAAAGTGATTAACAAAAAAAAGACTATATTATACATCCACAAAATGTTTATATATTTGTATCTGCAATGCATATTTTAGTATATGTAGGCATAGTCCATATATTGGATGCGGTAAAAAAAATCAAAGTAGAACAAAGGGACTTTTTCATAACAGTGAAACTGAAAGACAGTGTGTCATAACCATAAAGAGATGCACAAAAGTATAACAGAAAACACGCATAGTGTGAAAGTAAATGGTCTGGATTTAAATCCCAGCTCAGGTAATCACTATAGTGTGTAACCTTTGGCAACTTACTGAGCTTCGATGTCCTCATGCACAAAATGGGGGTAAATCATAACATCTAGGTCCTAGGATCATTGTTAGACTTTAAACAAGTGAATACGCATAAAGCGGTCAGAACATTGCCTGGCCCAAAGTAATCACACAATAAATGTTAGTTAAACACACTGTAATATTATCAATATTTACTACTACTACTATTGCTGCTGCTGCTATAAGGGCAGTACATCATTTAAAATATGGTGTAAATATGGATATTATATGTCTGTGATTAGAGTAAAATTCACAGGGTAGCTTATAAAAACAGTGTCTTTCTAAAAGAAACAAATAATGATGGGAAAATAATTCAGCTACACAAATTCTTTGCCAGGAAGGATGATGACAATGGATGCTTTTAATTAAAATAGTAATACCAGGAGAAATCTGGTCCTATTTTTAGCAATATGTCTGTATAAACACATTAAATATTCACAACAACCCTCCAAGCCTAGTACTGTTATCTTATTTACAACTGCGGAAACTAAGCATGGAGAGGTTAATTAAATTGCCCAAAAGACATAGCAAGAAAGGGGAGTAATCAAGATTGAATTCCATGCTATCTTGTTCTACAACCTCTTGAAAGGAGTATAATACTATAAATTTCTTCACTCACCCATTGACCAAAAAGTTAAATTGCTTACTCACTATATCCTAAGAATTGTGTTTGGAAATGTGGATAACTGAAGATATAACTACCTTCCTTGAGAAGCTCACATACTTGTTGGGAATAAAATAAACACACAGTTATCTACTCACATACAGGTAGGTGGCAATTACTGAACACTTATTATGTGTCAGGCATTTTGCTAAGTGTTATATGTCGATAACCAATCCTAAATCAATTCTTACAGCAACTCTACAGAACCAGGTTTGATTGTCATTTCCATTTTTTAGATTAAAAAAAAAAAACAACAAAAACCTTGAGGCTTAGAAGGATTAAATATAGGCTTAAAATGTCTTTGCTATACTGACTCCAGTGTTTTACATCCTTTAAGAATTCAATTAGAACAGCATGAGAAAACAGAAGAAAGAAAGAGGCTTCCAGCCTACAGATGCAGGGGGCAGGGCCATGGCATGCATTATCTCCAGTTGTGTCTTGGAAAATAAACATTAGTTCTTCTGTTTAGAAGAGGAAGGACATAACAGAGAGAAGGAAAAGTATATGCAAAGTCATAAGAATAAGAAATACCCTAGGGTATTCAGGTAACAAAAATAGGTCTAGATGAGTGGAGGGCAGGGGTATTAAAAATGGGGAGTTAAAGAGAGTAGTCTTACAGGAGTAGGTTGTCATCAGACTGAGAAATTCTTGATATGTCATACAAAGGAATTTGCACTTTGTTCTGTAGGAAATGAGGAACCCAGAAGGGTTTTAAGAACCTGAGTGAAGAGATCAAATACATGCACTTTTTAAGACACATAACTAGAAGTGGTGTAGAATTTGCACTGGGAGAAGTGATTATAGGAAGATGGTCCAAAACCTTCTCAGCCACAAAAGGGATGTAGGGTGTCACCTCAAAAAGAGAATACTATATTTTATGAATATAATTGCTAAAGGTTGCTATTATATGAAGGATTTTAAAAAACAGTTAGTTGTCGGGGCGCCTGGGTGGCGCAGTCGGTTAAGCGTCCGACTTCAGCCAGGTCACGATCTCGCGGTCCGTGAGTTCGAGCCCCGCGTCGGGCTCTGGGCTGATGGCTCAGAGCCTGGAGCCTGTTTCTGATTCTGTGTCTCCCTCTCTCTCTGCCCCTCGCCCATTCATTCTCTGTCTCTCTCTGTCCCAAAAATGAATAAACGTTGAAAAAAAAATTTTTAAAAACCAGTTAGTTGACTTGGTTGTTTTATTCTGGCAGAAGTAAACTCTCTTTTTGCAGAGACTTACCCTAGGATCAAGGAGAGATTTCGATTCTACATTTACTCTGCATTTGAATTAGTGGACAACTAGCAGTATCTTATACATAAGATAAAGTGGCCACTGGCTCTTATTTGGAAAGAAAATGAAATTATATTTTGTAATCTTCAGAAAAAAGTATCACATCATGTTGTTAACTAGTTTTCTTTATTAGCAACCTGAAGCTCTTCTTTTCCAAAGACATTTCTTTATATTTTTTAAATTAAAAACAAAATGTTCCTGTTTAAAAAAAAATTAATGCTTATTTATTCTTGAGAGAGAGAGACAGAGACAGAGAACAAGCCAGGAAGGACAGAGAGAGAGGGAGACAGAATCCGAAGCAGGCTCCAGGTTCCGAGCTGTCAGCACAGAGGCCAAGACAGGGCTCAAACTCACAAGCTTTGAGATCATGACCTGAGCCGAAGTTGGATGCTCAACTGACTAAGCCACCCAGGTGCCCTAAATGTTCCTGTTTCAACATGCACTACTGCTAAAAACAATGAGTGACTGCGGCGCCTGGGTGGCCCAGGGGGTTGAGCATCTGACTTCAGCTCAGGTCATGATCTCATTGTTCGTGAGTTCAGGCCCCATATTAGGCTCTCTGCTGTCAGCCCAGAGCCCACTTCAGATCCTCTGTCCTCCTCTCTCTGCCCTTACCCCACTTTCTCACATGTGCACACGTGCTCTCTCTCCCCCTCTCTCAAAAGTGAATAAACGTTAAAAAAAAAATGAGTGACCATATGTGGAATTTGAGAATCTCAACAGATGAACAAAGGGGAAGGGAAGGAAAAATAAGATAAAAACAGAGAGGGAGGCAAACTATAAGAGACTCTTAAATACAGAGAGCAAACGGAGTGCTAATGGAAGGGAGGTGGGTGGGGGGATGGATTAAATGAGTGATGGGCTTTAAGGACGGCACTTTTGAGATGAGCACTGGGTGTCATATGTAAGAGATGAATCAGAGGGTTCTACTCCTGAAGCCAAGACTACACTGTATGTTACCTAATTTGAATTTAAATTTAAAAAAAAGTGTTGAAATTTGAATTTCACTGATTTCATACAGAACAAGTACAGATTAGATGCAACATCTTACCAAAAGTTCAGAGAACAACTGATTCAAGAAGGTGCTCATTAAAGATTTACCTTAGTAATAATCCTGTAAGTAATGAAAGTTTCAATTGTGGTAACATGGCTTTCAGGTTCATCAACTGTAATGAAAAGATCTTTCAAATCTGGCTCATCTTCAAACTTGATTTGGTTAATCATTGATAGAGGGGACGTTGGCATCATAGGGCTGAAGGAATTCATGTCCATCAACGAGGCATCCTAAGAAATAAAACACATTAAAAAATTAACATCTATGGAAGAAACAATTTAAAATCCTGTTTTTCTTAGACACAATGAGTACTAATGAAATATGTCAAGAACAAAAAGGATGATTGGGTTCCTGGTTAAATATGGTATGTCAAACATGTATTTTTATCTCTGCTTCCTCTTAAAATCCCACTATAAAAATGACAACAAAGAAATAAACAAATTAAAGCAAACTAAGACAAAAAGGCATAAAAGACATAAACCCTCGAGGTAAAAAAAGAGGGAGACAGAGAGAGATGAAGCAAACAAAAGCAACTACTTTTTGGAAACTAGAAATCTGACTGAGGGGTAACTGACATAGCAGTGCAAAGAAAGGTGAACAGTAAACCTAGGAGTTAATGGTAAACCTAGAAGGCATGTTTTTAAGACAGAATCCCAGAGAGACTTAAGAATTACAGGCACCAGAAACCCATGGACACAGAGTGCTGACAGAGCTAAAACCAGAGGACTGGTTGAGAAGCTAATAAAACAAGAGAGTCAGTACCTTAGATTCCCTCACCTACCCCAAGCCACCGGGTGACATTTCTTCCCCAGTTTTGCAAAAAAGTGGAAGTTTACTTTCAGAAATGTCTCTGAAAAGGGTGCCAGGCAGAAGGGAGGAAGAGATAGCAAAGAAAAGTCCTACATACGAGATGGGAAGATAGCCAACTCTCTCCCCTCATCTGGCCCTATGAATTCTGGCATCAATGCACAAAATTCCACCCAGTGGTTGGAGGGTTCCTCTCTTAGCTTGCCATTCCAAGAAAAAAGACTAACAGTTGCAGTCCCTGATGAGTGAGCCAGGTCTCTGCATAATCACCCTGCTCTGAAGCCCTTACCGTACATGATGAATATCTACTCCGCTTTTTATTACCTGATGTAGAAACTATGAAATATCTAAATATGCGAAAAGCCTCTGATATGAAAGAAAGATTCACAAACACAAGACAGGAAGCAGTTAGAGAACAGAATGCTTAAAAAAAAAATGGATGAAATCATCAGAGATAAGAATGATATCAAATTCATGAATAAAAACAGGAGTTATATTGTTAAAAAATTCAGAAAACAGCAGCAAGACAATAAAAAAGGAGGCTCATGAAAATTGAAATATGATAATAGGATAACAACTCAACAGGAAGTTTGAAAGATAGAACTCAAGAACTAAGTTGAATTAAAAGGACAAAAGATGGAAAGGAGAAGGAAGTGTTTTTAAAAATTAAGGGATCCAGGCAGGTAGTGCCTGAATAGAATGAATTCCATAAAATGAAGAGGAAAATGTGCTTTGAACTGAAGTGTTTCCAGGTTGATAGGGCTTTTCCTGCCTCCTCAAAATGAATGGGGGCAGTGGTGGGGTCGGAAGTGCTCCTGCAATTACCATGACATTGCATAATACAGGTTAGCTTCCAGAGAGAATATAAACAGGTAAAATACAACAGAAATCTCAGGAATCAGAATGGCTCCAGATTTCTCAATGGTAACACGGACACTAAATGACAATCAAATATCTTCCAAATTTTGAGAGGAGAATATCTTCTACCTAGAACTCTATATAGCCAAACAAATTGTCATTCAAGTATACAAGTAGATTAAAGTCATTTCAGATATAAAAGATTTCAAAAACTGATTTCCCATCCATTTATTCTTTGGAAGCTTCTTTAATTTTCCAAAATTATATGAAGGCATATAACAAGAGGAAATAGGATCTAAAAACAGGAGATTCAACGGAAAAGAGAACTACATGAAATTCTTTGGATGATCATGAAATTATGTTCCACGTTGACAGCTTTGCAGCAGAACTAAAGAACAACCTATACAGACTGGGTCAGGAAGACAGAGTCACCAGGGAGGCAGGGAGATGAACAGGGAAAAAGAATAAGGGAAGAGAGGCAGGAAGGGAGGTGGACAGAGAGAAAGAGACAGGGGAGTGAGCAAAGGAAGGAGGAAAAAAAAAGAGAGGGAAGGAGGGAAGGAGGGAAGGAAGGAAGGAAGGAAAAAGGGAAGGGAGGGGAGAGGAGAGGAGAGGGAGGGGGAGAATGGGAGGGAGTGGAAGAAGGAAGGAAGGAAGGAAGGAAGGAAGGAAGGAAGGGAGGGAGGGAGGAGGGAGGGAGGGAGGGAGGGAGGGAGGAAGGGAAAGGAAAAGAAGGCAGGTGACAGAGTACCGATATGTTTAAACATGACAGGAGGCATGCCATGTTAGATATTGTAGATGAATTGTGATGGGTGCAAAGAAAGCCAAGATGGAAAGAATGCAAGAGAAGTAGAAAGGAAGGGATAGAGAAAATGAATGAATGAAGGAATAATGAATGGTGAACTCTCAAGAAAACAAAAGGTGTACAAGAATTAAAATGTAATCATAGTTCACTCTATGGCCTTGACTTTGAATAAAAATAAATTGTTCTTAATTTTGAATTTAACTAAAAATGGTGATATAATTATACTTATGGTCAGAAGAAAAAATATATATACTGTATATGTTTGAGGGGAAGAGACATAGCCTACAAAATAGCTTCAAAAATGCAATTACTATGATGGAAAAAAAGGAAGATGAGCAACTATTCCAGACTGAAGACCAAAGAGACATAATAGCTAAACACAACATGTGATCTTGAACTGGATTCTGTACCAAAGGAGGAGAACCTTTGTTTTTTTCTTTCTGAACTGTTATTGGGACAACTGGAGAAATGTGAAAGGATCTGTGGATGGGAATGTGGTATTGTGTCAGTATGGTTTCCTGATTTGTATATGCATACTGTGATTAAGTAGGAGACTGTCCCTGTTTTTTAAAAAAAAAAATACACACAGATCTATTTAGGAGTAATGAAACAGCAAGTCTCCAATGTACTCAATTTAGCATACAGACAGATAAAGTGAAAGTTGTGAAATGGCAATAATTGGGAAATCTAGGTTCTTAGTGATATTCTTGCAACTTTTCTCCCAGTTTGAAATTATTTCAAAATAAAAAAGTATATTTATAGTTTTTAAAAGTCAAATAATTCTACAGAGTTTAAAATAAAACAAGACAAATTAAAAATTAAAAAGCAGCTTCGTCTTCTCCAGAATTGCTATTCCCATGTCATGCTTCTCAGAAGCAAATGCAGAACTCTATTTGCTGTTCTTTTTCCTTGTTACATTTCTTATTTCAAAATAATATACGTATTGCTTTTTTTTTTTTCAATTTTGACATTATCAGTAGGTTTCCTACTAAGGAGAATAAAGAGTATTTATTTACTTAATTATGTGAGTATAGACTCACAATTCCTATGTTACTCAATGGGTTGTAATCCATAAATACTATAATTTATTTTGATGTTGTAAGTATCCAAACCTGCCTAGTGGGAGCTCCTTAATGCTGGCACCTCTGTGTTTTTGATATGTCTTCATTATTCAAGAGCACTTTATATAACATAACTTGGCAAAATAAGATGTTTCAGGTTTACCTTATATTTTCCCTGACCCAGTTATAGAATCAGATATTTCTCCAAGGAGCTCTGGTTCCTTTTAGAGGAAACTGGAATTTGGAAACCAAGATATGAATGATAGGAAATGTATGTATAACACACAGACACACACACACACACACACACACACACA